TCTTCCTTGATTTGGGTGCTGTCTATATGTATGGACTTTTCAACTCATGAAAATTCACTGAGCTGTACACTTAACATTATGCCCTTTTGTGTATAAAATATTTCAATATAAAGTAAAATTATAAAATATATATTACATAGTGAGAAAAAAATGTATCTTCAAAAAGAGAGAGAAAACCCAATTCTAATAGTGTCATAAGTTATTAAGAGTATTGATTTAGGGTTGAGAAGGTAGGTTGGTGGTAAAATGCTTGCAAACCCAGGTTTGATCATCAATATGGGGCATAGGGGTTATTGAGTACTTCCCTGTGTGCTAGGTGATATGCTAAGCATGCTTTTCATGGTTGGGTTTTTGTTTTTGTTTTGTTTTGTTTTGTTTTTTTGATTCTCATAAAAATCCAATGAAATTGATCCTATTTATTGTTCCCCATTTTTACAGATGAAGGAAACAGATACAGAAAGGTTATTTACTACTAGCCACACAGCTGGCAAATTGAAGAGCTAGAATTTGAAAGTAGGTGTTTTTATTCCTGGGCCAAAGCTTATTTTTTTCTTTTTCCCTTTGGTGAGATGAGGTTTGAACTCAGGTCTTGCAAAGCAGACACTCTACCACTTGAACCGCATCTCCAGTCCATTTTGCTCTGGGGTGTTTTTGTTTTGTTTTTAATAGGATCTTATGAACTGCTTACCTGGGGTTGGCCTTGAAGCATGATCCTCCCAATCTCAGCTTCCCAAGTCTGGGCCAAAGCTTTTATAACAATTCAGTGTGGAGTTGTAATTAGGAATAGCTCATTTGAAGTGACAGAGGATCTCATGTATGTCTTTCTTCATGAGGAAATATTCTTATTTTGAAGGATAGTGACTAGATTGCAGTAGCAGCTAGAATCACCCTCAATAGTTGGGAAACACTTGAAATTTCAGTTTACTCTTCATTTCTAATAACTGAATGTTTTATGTTCCATTTATGATTGGAGCACTGAAATCATAACAAAGCCTTTACTTGAGGTTAGCTCCTCTAGTCAGATTTGTTAAATTCTCAGGCACCTTTATCTGACAGCCATTGATGAAAGCATGGCTTCCTGTGATTATAGAAATAGCTGGTTTGTTCAAAGTATAAACAGAATCATTTCATTACCTTCTCGACTGTTCTCTGTTACTGGCATTTCTGGGCTTTAACCAGAAAACAGTACTCTTAGTATCCATTTCTACCTTTTAAAAGACAAAGAGCAAATAGTGGAAGGTTTTGGTTATTGGGATGAGAAGTGTCATTTGCTTATAAACTCATATTTATTAGCTCTCTGACTCCAAATTTGATTTTCCTTTGCTGAGGTGAAAACAAATAACTTGTACAAAAAGCAGCCCTGAAGTCTTATGTCATAGGCAACAGTGGACTGGTGGAGTGGCTCAACTTGTAGAGTGCCTACATAGCAAGCATGAGGCCCTGAGTTCAAACCCCAGTACCAACAAATAAATAAATAAAGACAGAATTTACATGTGATCCAACCATAGGCAACAGTGGCATTTATGCCAGAAAACCTCCAACTCTGCGTACCAGGGCTTGCTGTTTATAGGTGTCAGCTCTTTCATTGTAAGCAGATGACTGCATGCCATTCTTAAAAATATACTTATTCAGTTGTATATCAGGTGCCATTTGTAAAGAGGTCTGTGTATAGGATTTAACATTGAGAAAATAAGACGGTCCCTTAAATGGCAGAAGTGGATTATCCAAATTTGGTACAGTCTTAACAGCACATGCTGGTAACATAGGTCTCCCTACCAGATTGGGGTTGCCTAAGGCAAATATGCCAAAGATTTATCTAATTACTTTGAAAAGAACCCAGTTTTACTTTTTAATGGTATGCTTTATTGAAAAGCATACTTCTTCAAATCAGCAAAAGTTTCCGTTGATTTCTAAATTTTCTCCCAGTGTCCCCAGGCTTCGAATCTGAATATGATCCTTCTCTCCTTTTCACATCCATATTCAGTTCATCAACAAATTCACTTGGATCTGCCTTCAAAGTACACCAAATTTGCTGAGCGCCAGTAGCTCACGCCTGTAATCTTAGCTACTCGGGAAGCAGAGATCAGGAGGATTATGGTTCAAAGCCAGCCTGGGCAAATAGTTTGTGAGACCCTATCTCGGAAAAAATCCTTCACAAAAAAAGGGCTGGTAAAGTTGCTCAAGGTATAGGCCCCGAGTTCAAACTCCAGTACCAAAAAATAAATAAATAAAATCCGGATTATTTCTTTCTACCACTTCAGTCCAAAAGATTCTTTTCTCTTCCATGGACCATTGAAGGAATCTCTTAATTGTCTTCCTTACATCTACTCTTGTCTCGTAAAATCTGTTCTCCTCACATGTTCTTCTTACATGGTGGCTCAAGATTCTAAGGAGTAAGCAGAAGCTATCTGTGCTTAGTTGTCCCAAAATGTGACTGCATGTCCCAGAGTCAACATAAAGTCCTCTCTTGGTGAGAGGAGCAGCATTCATGTAGCAAGAGGGCTGAAATTATTTGTTGACATGTGTAAGAGGTTAGCTATCGCCGCCTAAACAACCTGGATGACATGACTCAAACTACTTCAATTTTATTTCTCCTTGCTTAGTCAATTCCAGTCACACCACAGAATATACCGTTATATTCCTTGAGCATACCAGACAGACTGCCTTCCAGGACCTTTTAATCAAAATTCCCATTGCCTAGACCACTGTTCCCCCATAATAAAATGTTGATTTCCTTCATTTCTTTTGTCTCAAGTTCAAATGTCATCGTTTTATGAAAACTCTGACTAGGTAGATTCAGATAACTACATTGCTTTTTAAGTTCCTATAGAACAAATTGTTACAAACTTAGCAAGTTAAAACAACACCTATTTATTTGCTTATAGTTCTGTAGGTAAGAAGTCTGGCAAGGCATAGCTGTGTTCTTTGCTTAGAGAACTGAGGCTGAATTAATGCATTGGCTAGCCATGTTCTTATTTGGAAGTTCCTGAGGGAAATCCTCACAGCTCATTCTTATTGGCAGAACAATTCCTTACTATTACAGTAAGACTGGAGTGCCCCCATTTCCTCACTGGCTGCCAGCTGAAGACTGCTCTTAGCTCCTACTCTGACCACATTCTCCTTGCCACAGGCCCCCCTGCCTCTTCAGCCATTTGGAGAAGGAAAATCTCTGCCTTTAAAGACATCATATAATGAGATCAGACCCATCTGAGTAATCTCTTTGTTTTTTCTTCCATTCTTGAAATGGTCTGCATAGCCCAGTATGGCAATCTCTCAATTCTCCTGCCTCAACCTACCAAGTGCTGAGATTACAGGTGTGCACTACCACTCCAGGATTAGTAATCTCATCAGAACAAGTACCTATGTTTGTGTTTATTTGAATGACTGATGGGGAAGTATGTGTACAATGGGAAATTTAGGGAACCATCTTAGAATTTTGCCTACCATGATAACATACATACACTTGTATTTTCTCTTTATTCAGCTTTTTCTTCCCAGCATTATCTATATTTGCTAATTATTTGCTTATGCTTTTAGAATGCCTTTTACACTCAAATGATAGACTGTATTGTTTTTATTCAGATGATAGACTGTATTGTTTTTTGTTCATTGTTGTATTCCTAGCACCGAGGACATTGTAGATGCTTAGTAAATAAATGAATCAGTTGATAAAAGTTTGATGGCATGTAATTTTGATGACTTCAGATGGGATTTTTGGAAAGAAAAGATACCACAGTCTTTTTTTTTTCTTTTATTATTCATATGTGCATACAAGGCTTGGGTCATTTCTCCCCCCCTGCCCCCACCCCCTCCCTTACCACCCACTCCGCCCCCTCCCTCTCCCCCCCACCCCCCTCGGCAGAAACTATTTTGCCCTTATTTCTAATTTTGTTGTAGAGAGAGTATAAGCAATAATAGGAAGGAACAAGGGTTTTTGCGAGTTGAGATAAGGATAGCTATACTGGGAGTTGACTCACATTAATTTCCTGTGCGTGTGTGTTACCTTCTAGGTTAATTCTTTTTGATCTCACCTTTTCTCTAGTTCCTGGTCCCCTTTTCCTATTGGCCTCAGTTGCTTTTAAGGTATCTGCTTTAGTTTGTCTGCGTTAAGGGCAACAATTGCTAGCTAATTTTTTAGGTGTCTAACCTATCCTCACCCCTCCCTTGTGTGCTCTTGCTTTTATCATGTGCTCAAAGTCCATTCCCCTTGTTGTGTTTTCCCTTGATCTAATGTCCACATATGAGGGAGAACATACGATTTTTGGTCTTTTGGGCCAGGCTAACCTCACTCAGAATGATGTTCTCCAATTCCATCCATTTACCAGCGAATGATAACATTTCGTTCTTCTTCATGGCTGCATAAAATTCCATTATATATAGATACCACATTTTCTTAATCCATTCGTCAGTAGTGAGGCATCTTGGCTGTTTCCATAACTTGGCTATTATGAATAGTGCTGCAGTAAACATGAGTGTGCAGTGCAGGTGCCTCTGGAGTAACCTGTGTCACAGTCTTTTGGGTATATCCCCAAGAGTGGTATTGCTGGATCAAATGGATACCACAGTCTTAAAATACTCATTGGTCTTTCTTTGCATAGAGAACTTCTTATTTGACCATTAAAAAAATAAGTTGCAGCAAGTAATTGTTTAAGTGTTATATATGAGAAAAAGCATTTTTTTTTTTTGCTTACAATTAAGCATAATGTGCTTTTGGCTTTCAGTTTTCATCTATATGTCTCTAGAATAAGAGTGTTTTCCTGTGAACTTTTGAGAATGGATTCTGTCTTCCAGCAGTGTGTCTGATTTGCCACCTTGCCGTGTTGTATTTCTGAGGATTTTCATGTAATTGTGGTTCACAAATGTCTAATTATTAGCAAAATAACAGAGTGGGCTTAATGATAAAGACACATTGTGGCACACCAGACCAGAAATTTATATATATTTCCTTCATTTTTAAATATTTACTGTTGTATGTTTCTTTTAATCCTCCCCTTTTATAGACAAAACTTGCCAATGGCACGTCCAGCATGATTGTGCCTAAACAGCGGAAACTCTCAGCAAGCTATGAAAAGGAAAAGGAACTGTGTGTCAAATATTTCGAGCAGTGGTCAGAGTCTGATCAAGTAGAATTTGTGGAACATCTTATATCCCAAATGTGTCATTACCAACATGGGCATATAAACTCATATCTTAAACCTATGTTGCAGAGAGATTTCATAACTGCTCTGCCAGGTATGTGTACATGTATTTTGTAAACCAGTAATTTGCTATAGTGGTAATGGAACTGATTTTTGGCCTTATTGTTCTGTATGAAAGTCTTTATTGGCTTGATTGTCCAAATTAAGTCCTTTAATTGTATCCTGTTGGTAAAAATAGAAGAAAAATCAAGCTCAAGAATAAAGATTCCCCTTTTCCCCATCTTTTCTCATGCCCTTCTCTTCAGCCTTTTTTTACCTATATGTAGGTCCAAATAAAATCTTTTCTGCGGTGTCATCTGATTTGAGATATGTCTTTTATAATGTGCTTTACTTTGGAGATATGTTCATTCATGTACTTGGATTTGGGTTTCTTGTGAGACTTTATCAACAGAATATTTAAATTAGAGATATGAATTAGAAACATTTTTGAAACAATATCTCAAGTCTTGTTATGCATGTATATTTGCACACACATACATAATGCAATACTTAAATGCTTTCTTTTTTCTGTTGTTTTTATTTTTGTTTTTACTACTAGGGCTTGAACTCCAGACCTCATACTTGCTAGGAAGGCACTGTACCACTTGAGCCACATCTTATCTCCAGCCCTTTTCACTTTAATTATTTTCTAAAAGATTCTCACTTTTATACCCAGACTGGCCTGGACTCAGTCCTCCTATTTACACTTCATGACAGGCATGCACCACCATGCACCACCATGCCTAGCTTTTTATTGGTTGAGATAGAGTCTTGCGAAACTTTTGCCCTGCTGGCCTCAATCCTTAATCCTCCTGATCTCCATCTCCAGAGTAGGTGGGATGACAGGTGTGAACTACCATGTCCAGTCTAAAACACACTTTTTAATTGTTCCATAGTATTCTTCCCAATTGTTTAGATACATATTATTTGATTCTTTCATTGAATATTTAGATTTTTTTCTATATAAATTTTTCCATTGTGGACATTCATGTGTGTGAATGTTGTGAAAATGCCTGAAGTGGAATTACTATACTTTTTTTGTTTTTATTGGGACAGTGCTAGATTGAACTCAGGGCTTCTCACATGCTAGGCAAGCACTTCACCATGGAACAACACCTCCAGTCCAAGAGGATGAACATTTTTAGGTCTTTTAATACATGCTGATAAGCTATTCTCTAAGAAAAATATACCAACTTATACTCTTCTCAAAACTGCATGCTAGTATTTTGTTTAATCTTTGCCACTTATTTCTTTAAAAAAAAAAAAACCTTTGCTTTTCTAAACTTAGAATTTAAACTAAATTTCCCTTTAAAGAAATTCTTATTTATATCTTAAAAAAATAACCACTTTAAAACTGAATTTTATCCATATCTTTTGTTAAATAGAATAGATTTTTGCCCCCTTGTAATGCATTAGATTTTATTTTAGCCAAAGGCAGTTTTCTTTGAACAATCTGAGTGTACCTAATACTGTGTTCTTCCCAATCACTGAGACATGCTACTATCTCAAGTTTATACCACTAAGAATTGAACAGGAGTTGATTAGACAAGTGTATTTTGCCTAATACTGATCCCTAGTATGTATGTGCTGACCACTCAGTGAGGTATTAGATCATGTCTAATGCTTTATGGCCATTTAAAGTTATAAACCTATGCCATCTGGCTACATTTAGTAAACCAAACTACTTCAAAAAACGCCTGTAATCCATTTATGTAATGGTTTTGTTTGGAGTGTTAGGTGAAATTACTTCCAACAACTTATTACAGGTACATAGTAAATGATCAGGAACAATTTGATGGCAGCCATTAAAAATATAGGGATGCTTTGGAACCTTCTGATGGTATAGGATGTTTCAATAAAAATATTCAAGAATTGTATCATGACTGTATTTTGCATGAAGAACTAATTATTCTATCTTTAATTGGCTTATAGTCATATTCCTTTAATAAGAATTAGGTGATAGATGTCTCCATCTGCTTATGCTTAAGGATGAACATGTGATGCCAGCCAAACAAGATCCATGCAATGATTTCTTTCCCAAGTCTGCTGGAAAATATGACACATAGCCATACAATTTTTATAATTATAATAATGTTTAATAAGCATACAGATATGCTAGTGTTGTCTAAGAGTGTGTCTGTATGATTCTGGGAAAGGCACAAAGTGAAATGCAGTATTCTCTTTTCTTTTAAGTTTGTGCCTATAGGAGACAGAGTGAAGGAATCCTTCCTTACTGTTTAAGTCTTTAGAAAGCCTCTGATTGTTTCCCTCCTAGAGGAGTAACTTTGAATGTTTTTGTCTTGTTTGTGAACTTAGAACAGCAGCCAAAAGAATGCTAATTAATTCAATCATCCTATTTTATAGGATCTTTTCCACCAAGGTTTCAGAATAGATTTGGGTCATGTACAGTTTTAATTGGGAAGCCCTCAATTTACACATCCCAAGATCTGCTCACAACTGTTATCTTCTGCACATCCTATGAAATATTCTCTGAAATACTAACCTTATTATCTATTGGTCTAGGAATTTTTTTTCATTTTTGGTCAACTGTCACTTAGGTTTTATAGCAACAGCTGTTTTCAAATACCATTTTTTTAGCATATGAAATTAAACTCATCCTTGAACTTCAGTATACCTCTGTGTTTTTCCTCTCAGGATGTTCCTATACCAATCTGTATTTCCTTCTTTCCTTTCTGCATGTCCAAAATTCTATAACCCAGCACATTCTGACTTAGTGTCTCTCCCCCAGTACATTTAAAGGATATTTCTTTTACTGAATAGCTTTGGAACTGTAGCAGTAATAGAAACAGAATGAGAAATGGACCTAATATCGACATTTCGGGTGGGGGGGGTCTGAGTCACAGAGCTTGAGATGCCATACATAGAACATCCCCTAGTGCTGAAATCCATATAGATAGATGTGAATTGTTTTCTGGAATCCTTTTTATTTTTAATGTCTTGGGGGGTTTACTGGTGTTAGCTTTAACTTCCTTATCTAAAGGAAGATGGAAAATACTGTTCATTTTTGTAACCTTATAGAAAAATTATTGATACTCATTTTACCCAAGCCTCAGTTTGAAAAAGAAACTGGATTACACAAGGGACAATGATGTGCCTTCATAGCAGAACAAGTACTGTTCTGTTTTAAAGGACCTTTTTGTTTAAAAAAAAAAAATTCACCCATCCCCTCTGTTCTTTTTCTTTGCCTCCCCCCTCCCCCACTGAAAGCTCGAGGTTTGGATCATATTGCTGAGAACATTCTGTCATACTTGGATGCCAAATCACTATGTGCTGCTGAACTTGTATGCAAAGAATGGTACCGAGTGACATCAGATGGCATGTTATGGAAGAAGCTTATCGAGAGAATGGTCAGGACAGATTCTCTGTGGAGAGGTCTGGCAGAACGAAGAGGGTGGTGAGCCTTTTAACTTTTTCCTGTTACAGAGCTTCTTGCGTACATGGCCATTCAGAATCACTGGAAGATTGTTGGGAACTAGTGAGACCACTTATCATTTAATACGGCTATTTTGCTGACTTATATTTAAAAATGTAAAAGAGAACAGTTCATGTACTCACAGGTTTTCTTCTGAACAATCATTCATAAAAATGACATAATATTGTGGTAATGCTGCTTTGCAAAAAAAAAAATAATAATGGAAAACAGACTTTCCTCCTATTTGAAGCATTCTGCTCTCTGGGCAGAAATTGGTATTCTGCCAAAGGGCTGATGGGCAATTTACTTATAAGTAAATAAGTTTGAATCAGGAAATAACTATCAGATCTAGCTTTTCCCTAATCTAGGACAAATTATTATTTTCTTCTTAGAAGATTTCTTGTGTTTAGCCCATGCTTCTGGCATTTTATCACCTTTTTGATAAAAAATTATTTTTATGTCCAGCTAGAATCAGAATGATAACTATCAAAATGAATGAAAAATGAAATTTAGTATACATCATTGTTTCTTCTTAAGACTCATATTTTCATTAGATTTTCTTGTTTAATTCTGAATTCCGAAGGCATTATATAGTTAGACAACTAAAAGACCACCTATTTTGTTCTCTTAAAATACTGGCTCTATTTTATTAGAACTTTAGAAAATGTTTTTCTTTATAGAATTTTGTCTCAGAGTATGTCTCTAGGATGTCACTATGAGAAAGTCAGGTATGAGTAGTTCATAAATACAGTAAAGGTAGCATATTGAGTATTATAGTGGATAGAAAAAATGATAATAGACATAAGCATCAGTGATAGTCTTCAAAATTAATTTTATCAGTTGTTTTCTTGGATCATGAAAGAACTGCAAAGCAGTAAAGAATGTTGAAAAAAAGCCTGCCATGGTGGTATAGACCTGTAATTCCAGCACTTGGGAGGTTAAGGCAGGAGAACCCTGAGTTCAGGGCCAGCTTCAATTACATAGCTAGACCGTCTTTAAAAAAGGAGGAGATAGAATGTAAGATAAATACTCAGGATCAACTTGGCTTAGAATTTTCACAAAAATATAGTTGGCACCCTTCTTTGTGTCTTTAAAATTCATTAACACATAAATATAAAGATCTCTAAATAAACCAAATCAGAAAATTCTGTCATTTTGGTTATTAGGAAGATTTTTAACTTTTCTCTCATTCAATTAAACCAAATGGAAACAATTTTTTGATATAATAAAAGAATATTGATTTTTCTTATTTATTTCATTATGTAGAAAAATAGAAGCGATCTTTCTTAACCAACTTCATACTTTTGAAGTAAACTCTTTGATAGTATAGCAAAGCATATAAGTATATAGTTACATGACATTTGCAATCCATTACTTTGCTGAGCGCCAGGACCAGCTTTAGCAATAGAGCAGACAGTTGCTTACATAGAAAAATTTTAGGGCAGCTGGGAAGATTTCTCTATCCCTTAGGTAAAAGAAAAGAAACTCTCCTTCAAATAACTTCTGACCCTAAATTTCAGTTGTGTAGAATTATTCCCTTAGCCATAAAGGTTTTAGCTCCCTGTTAAAATGCACTCTGTCCCCATTTGTACTGTAAATGACAGTAAACTTCTTACATCAGACATTGGAAGTTGACCAAGTCTTTTTTTTTTTTTGAAGGCAAGGAGAAAAAGAGGTAAGTGGTGGACAGTTTGGTATGTGAAAATGTCAAAGATAAAAGGAGACTCTACAATTTTGCTTAGGGTTGGCACTAAATAGCAAGATCTTTCATGTTAGTTACAAAGACAATAAAAAATCCATCACTGAAAAAAAATGTTTTTCGTCTTTTTTTTAAAGGTATATAAAGGTATAGCTGAGAAATATTCCAGGATGTAGTAGTTACTGCTCTTTCCCCTTCGTATCTCTTCAACCACAGAAACCCACTTCTGTACTTCAGTGTATGCTCATATGCTCCATAGTTCTGACTACATTACCTTGTCTTTGGCCACATATATCCTCGTAACTTGATATAGCAAATACTCAAAATTTCAAATACTTGCTCACCCTTTGTTTGCCTCTCCCAATGTCTCCTTATGTTAACTGGTCCTCCCTTTTTATTCGTTGGTTGGTTTTTTGTTTTGTTTTGTTTTGTTTTGACATAGGGTTTCATTATGACAGGTTGAGGCTGGTCTCAAACTTGATTCTCTTGCCTCACCCTTCTGAGTATTGGCATTATAGGCATGCACTGGTCCTCCCTTTAAAAAAAAAATAATTTATGAGTGATTTCTCTCTTAAAAGTTATCTTAGCAAACCTGCTATGCCAATAAAATCTGTCTGTATTGTACCTTTTTCCATATGCTGTCTTTGAAAGTATCTCCCATTTCTTCTAACCAAAGATAAACAAGTAAATACAGTCATCCAAAAAAACTTTGAGCTGCCAAGATTTAACTTCCACTTTGCTACTGTATTTTATACCTAGGTGGATTTCACAGTCTGCCTGTACTAGCATATGAACTTTGTCATTTTTTCTCTTAAATACTACTGAATATGCTCTTTCTGCTCAGTAATGGTAACTCTTAAAAGTGTAATAAAAGACCACTTGGGAAAAGTCCATTTTTTTAATCAGCAGATCACATTTTATGTTAACATTCTGAATTTAATATTTCACATTTATCATGTGCTCACACTCTCATAAGTACTAGACACTTCACATAGAAGCGGTCTCTGTTGTCAAAGAGCCTCCATCAAAAAAGATTTTGGCTTAAAATAGATACAGACTGAAAAGCCAGTTTTCAACAACTAGCCATTCCTTTTACAGAAACTTTGATTTGAAGAAATTCAGATATTTTAGTGAGGTATAGTAACAACAGTGGAGTAGAAAATAACATCAGAAGTTCCTATGAGTTCTGTTTCCTGAGGATGTAAAGAGAATATCATTGCATATGAAAAAAAATCCTGGAGTGCCAGAAACTAAAAGGAAAACAAGCATCTCAGGAGCAGTGGTCATCAAGAAACAAAGTTCTTAATTAAGAGTGGGGGTTCTGGAGTCAGACCTAAAATTTTCCCATTTAAAATCTTATTTGAATGCAGAGTGTTCATAGAATAAAACTGTTCAGATGTATAACTTTAATCCAGAATTGTTTCTTAAAGTATTTTGTTTGCCCTTTCCTTTATGCTGGTATACCATGTTTCATTAGTCCCCTTTTTAAAAAGTATTATCTTTGCTTCTCCATTGCAGATTTTCTTTTCTACAGTAACACAGAAGTCAAAACTAGCTACCTTCTTGGTAGAAAATTTTCTCAACAAATTTTCAAGGTGTATAAAGGAGAGAGGGCAAGGGAGAAGCACTCCTAGAGACATCAAACAATTAATTATATTGTAATGGAGCTATAGAAGGAGGGAGTGGATGACTGGCCCAGAGAAAACATGATTTCTCTGGTGCCAGGATTACACTCAGAGGCATTTCTGCCTATCTCCACTTTGCAAGGCACCATGCCAGTGAGAACAGCAATTAGTACACCCATAGTGGGGTTTACTAGCTTCCACACCGTGTTTGGTGGGTTTCTTAACTTCAGGACAAGGAATTAAATTTTTTACCCAGCAGGAAGTGATTGCCATTTACTGATTGGTTTTTTTGGTACCAAAGATCTTCCTTGGGACACGAGTATTCCAGAAATGTGCTGTCATAAGGAAGAAGATGCTAACAAATGCTGCTCACTGGAATCAAGGAAAAGTAGTAAATGTATTTATGTGCATACTTAGCAAGGAACACATCTATGGCAGTTTCATACCTTAGATTTGACACACAGTGCTTGTAGGCATTTCTTACCTTCTCGCTGCTGGACATTTGTGGGATAACTATGTTTTCTGTTGAACTGAATTGACCCTTTTAGTTATGATCTCCAGCAGCCTGTGTGACTGAGCAACCAACACACCTTACCCTCCATGATAAAGACCTGGAAACTTGATCTCTGTGACAGGCATTGCTGTCTGTCACAGCATTCCCATCATGCTAGGCTCCTCTGACACTGGCACAAGTTGCCTCAGGGAAAAGACTCTTGGGCTGTACAAATTGAAAAGTAGTAGTTACGGGTTGGGGATGTAGCTCAATTGTAGAATGCTTACCAAGCAAGGTTATCAATCCCCAATACCGGAGGGGGAAAAAGTAATAGTTACCATTACTAAACAAAATTTTCAAATGATAAGGTCAGTGCATCCATTGTCAATAGACTGGCAAAATATAGTAAATTGCCAGAAGCTTAATAGATCAATAGATGAACTCTGATTATATATACCGTTTGTCTCGCAACATTATGATATCCCAGAAGGCCTAGTACTCTGATGTTCTACACTGGAAATAATCATGTTTTACTCAAAAGCAATACAATGTCAGTCATAGTCCTCAGAGCTCAGAAAGTTACTCCCTTACATGGGACTCCTGAAGTCTTATCTCCATTCTTCTCCAGGATAGTCCTAGATATTATAAGGAATAGTCACTGAAACACTTTGAAGAAATATGAAGGTCTTTGTAAATGTATAATATTATGATTCACTGGAAAATATTTGTTTTTTAGGGGACAGTATTTATTCAAAAACAAACCACCTGATGGGAACGCTCCTCCTAACTCTTTTTATAGAGCACTTTATCCTAAAATTATACAAGATATTGAGGTAAGGATTATGTATTTTTGGATATTTGCCAAACAGTGAAGAATCATTAGTATTCTTTAGTTATAGCATTGGTTACATTAAAGTTTGTCAATGTGAGTTAAAAAAAATCAGTGTCTTTGTAAGTGAATAAGATTGGTAAAATACAGTAAATTGCCAGGCAAATTTTGTAAAGCTTTTAAAAAAATGTTTACTGATAGATACGTAGATGAGAGAAAGCAAGAAAGAGGGATTTATGCCTTCTTACAGTAGCAGTGAGACTATTAAATTTACAATCCTCAGCTAACATTCACAGGTCTTGTAAATTGAGCCTTCACGAAAGTTCATTGGTAGAAATAGCCATTATGTATGTAGGAAGAGCTCTAAGCACACAATCTAACTTAATGCATATTTTTTATTGTCTTAAGTTATGTGTTGCATAAAGTGCCATTGGTTGCCATTGTTGTCAGTAAGAGTTTAGTTTAGGTCCTTTCCTAATTAACTGCCTCATTCCATTCCTTCTTTTCAGACAATAGAATCTAATTGGAGATGTGGGCGACATAGTTTACAGAGAATCCACTGCCGAAGCGAAACAAGCAAAGGAGTTTACTGTTTACAGTATGATGACCAGAAAATAGTAAGCGGCCTTCGAGACAACACAATCAAGGTGAGGTCTCTGTAGTTGAGGGAGGTTATGTTCGTAAACAGTCTGAAAGGGACTACGTTCATGAAGCAATCTGAAGCATAAACTCCTAAGCATTATTCTTAGAAAAAACTTTAGATTGGTTCCAGTACCAAAGCCAATGTCATTTCCTTAAAGGACATTTGCCTTCGCCCAGAACAGCATGCAGATGGTCCTAGAGTTAAATTCCTTTCTCGAACTTCACTGAGGGGGCTCTTACCCTTTTGGCCCTCATAATTATAGGCTATTCCTGTACCTTAATGAAAAGGATCAAGTTTGCATTAGAACTGAAGCCACATATATATAGATACTTAACTATACCTGTAAGAAAGAATGCATTCCACACCACCCTGGGCTTTGATGCTTTTGGGGAATCAAACACATAATAGAGCCAACAAGTCTCCACAGTACCCCATTATCACAGTGATCAAAAGGATCTTGTTTGCCATCCTAGATCTGGGATAAAAGCACATTGGAATGCAAGCGAATTCTCACAGGCCACACAGGTTCTGTCCTGTGTCTCCAGTATGACGAGAGAGTGATCATAACTGGATCATCGGATTCCACAGTCAGGTAGAAAACTTCAAATGTTCTTTTGAACTCTGAAACATCAGATTGCCCTATTCTTTATCACAGATAGTAATTTTGTATAAATTTGCATGGATACATGAAACTAAAGATGAATAAACCATCGGCTTCCTCCCATAATTTGTGTCAATCTAGAACAAGAACGTGATTTAGGAATGATTGGAGTAAGTTTACATTTTGCACGTTTAAGAAACTACTAAAAAAAAAGAAAGAAACTAAATATTCTGTCTTAATATGGAAAATCATCCATTTTAGAAACTTTCCTTATCTTTGTATTCCTTTCAAAAACCATCTCTCAGGGGAATGACAGCAATGCAATGAAGGTTTCCTTTCAGATGGTTTTAACTATAGTACAGGCACACATTATCTCTTCAAAGTATGTACAGGTGAACAGTGCTCTCTCCCTGGCATCCCATCCCCTGCCATCCCTGCAGTGTTTAATTGCAAGCTTCATTCAGGGAGGGGCCCTCAGTTTCCAGAGGCATTAGTGATTTGATGACACAGCCATTATGCTGCTGGAGTCCAGTGTAGTTCATGTTCTGCGTATCCACAGCACTGCCGGAAACCTATGTTAGGAATTTTGCCTTAAGCTAAAGGATTTAACAAACATAATGCATCAAAAGTAACTTAAAAAAAGAAAAAGCCCTAGGGGGAAAAAAAAAGCAGTTAACTGTGTTGTAAAATTCTCTGAAGTTAAATGTTTATCATTGGAAGTTATTCTTTGTAAATAAAAAAGGCTGCTCCTGGTTCTTGTCTTTTGACTTCAAGGCAATAACAAACCCATTGCTTGCAGTTGTCCTCATGGAGTTTATGGAGTGCATCACAGGAGTTGCAACATTGTATATGCTTACATCATTTATAGACTAAAGGGAAATGATCTCTCCCTCCCCTGCCTGAAGAGGCATGAGGGGATTGAACCTAGGGCCTCACACATGCTAGGCAAGCACTCTTCCACTGAGCCACACCCCAGGCCAGAAAATGATTTTTTAAGGAATGAAGGAGGTGTTAAAACTGGAAAAAGGAAGTAATTTATAAAGGTAAAATCAGTACACAAAAAATAGAATTCTCAAACTATTCATGTTCTGCTATGAATCCCATATTTACAATGAAAGGGCTATCCTTGACTTCTAACAGCTGGAAAGCACAGAAACAGGGCCTTAGAGTTAGAGTTTATATAATCTTGCTCCTTGGCTTAAATGGTTAAACCTACGATCCCAGGAAACTGACGGCCATATTACTGTGTCTATGACAGAAGCATCTGGTTCCTAGGGCAGTCAATGGAACAGACATTAATGCTGTTATTAAACAGATTCCTCATTTATAATGTGTCTTCCTGCTAGGTATGGTGGCATACACCTGTAATCTCAACCTTCAGGAAGCAGAGGCAGAAGAATTTCGAGTTCAAGGCCATCGGCTACCTAGCAAACTCATGGTCAGCCTGAGCAACATAGTAAGACCTGTCTCAATCAATCAGTAAGGTGCATCTTCTTCATAGTGTTAAATTGAATATCAGAAGTTTTGATTTGGTCTTTGGTTTTTTGAGACAGGGTGTTGCTATGTTGTCCAAGCTGGCCTAGAATTCACTATGGAAGTGTTATAATAACCCTGAAGTCTGGGCCAAATTATCAGGTGATAGTGGTTGCTGGTTTATCCTTGCCTCCGCACCTTACCCAGATTTGAAGTCTTAAGGATTGAACCCTGGGAGCTTCCCACCCCCCTTCTTCTTATTCTTCTTGTCCAGCCCTCTCATCTACCTCTTCTCCATGGTCCATCATTACTCTACTTCAGTGCTGCAAAAGAAAGTAGAGTGTAACACTTCCCATGAAAGTATTGGGTGGGGAGAGCATCATGGTCAAATATAGGTAACATATTGTAGCTTGAGTACCTTCTAACTCTCAGATATCCCTTCCAGAGTGTGGGATGTAAATACAGGTGAAATGCTAAACACGTTGATTCACCATTGTGAAGCAGTTCTGCACTTGCGTTTCAATAATGGTATGATGGTGACCTGCTCCAAAGATCGTTCCATCGCTGTATGGGATATGGCTTCCCCAACTGATATCACCCTCCGGAGGGTGCTGGTAGGACACCGAGCTGCAGTCAATGTTGTTGACTTTGACGACAAGTACATTGTTTCTGCATCTGGGGATAGAACTATAAAGGTAATAAAGCATTTTTCAGTAAGTCCCAAAGTTAGAATAAGGAGTTTATGTGACAATTTAATCGAAGGCACCACATATTTAAGCATTACTGTAGAATAACTTAATATTTAACTCAGAGACTAGTGTATGTTAAAAAACTAATGAGTGAGACATTGTGCAACAATTTTGGTTAGATATTTATTACTGTAAATAATGGTGACATGCTGGGAATGTGGCTCAGTGGTAGAGTGCTTGCCTTTATACACAAGGCCCTAGGTACAATTCCCAGCATGGAAAAATAATAACTGGGTACTGGTGGCTTCCGCCTGTAATCCTACCCTCCTCAAGAAGCAGATATCAGGATTGTGGCTTCAGGCCAGCCCAGACAAAAGTTCAAGAGACCCTGTCTCAACAGAAAAGGCTGTTCATGGTGGTATGCACCTGTCATCCGAGCTTCTATGGGAAAAATAAATAGGAGGATCTTGGTCCAGGCTGGCCTAGGCAAAAAGTGGGACCCTGTCTCAAAAACAATCAGAGCAGCTGGGCACCAGTGACTCACACCTATAAACCTAGCTACTTGGGAGACTAAGATCAAGAAAATCAAGGTTCAAGGCCAGTCCAGACAAATTGTACATGAGACCCCATCTCCAAAATAACCAAACCAAATAGACTAGAGGTGTGGCTCAAGTGGTAGAACACCTGTCTAGCAAGTACAAAGTCCTTCAAAACTCCAGTACTACAAAAAGAATAATAATGAGTTGAGAAGGACAAATGTGTGTTTCAGGTCAAAAAAATGTCCCTTCAAGACCAGACTAACCTTGTAAGAGTAAATCAGTTTGACAAATTCTCATTGATATCAGCTAGCTTTAAATTAGCCCTATATTGTCATGAATTAAACTTGTCTTTTTTTGTTGTTGTTGTTAGATTTTAATTTCATCTTCAATGTGGGTCTTAGGGTATAAAAATCACTGGTTTTCAAATCATGAAATCAGTTTACTGGTCCTAGCAAACATGATTTTTAAATAAAGTAGATAGAAAATAGCAGAATATATTGTGCATAGTATTAAGTATCTTAAAATTTTTTTTTTCGGTTGGGTACACAGAGGCACACATAAGTTTGTGAGTGCTAGACATCAGTGTACTGTATCTCTTAATGTGCATCAAAAAGAAATTTGAGGTCTAGATGCACCTAAGGTGACTTCCAGCTCTAAAACTATGTGTAAACTTGTCTTTTCTTTTGCTTTCTTCTGCTTGGTCAGTCGAGTCCCTTTGAGTCTCAGTTCTGTTTCCTGCTTACTCAAGACTAATTGCCATTAATTTTACTATTAGCAGCATCAGATCAACTGCTCAGTGTCATTTTCTGTCTCAGGTGTGGAACACAAGTACTTGTGAATTTGTAAGGACCCTAAATGGACACAAACGAGGCATTGCATGTTTGCAGTACAGAGACAGGCTGGTGGTGAGTGGGTCATCTGACAACACTATCAGGTGAGCAGCAGTTGCCTTTTCCCAGAAGGGACAACATTATCCTATTATTTGCTCCTTGTGTACAGATCTTATGCTCTTCAACTGTGTTTATAATAAAATATTTTTCCTTTCTGTAGCTTCATACAGGACAAAAGTTTTCCCCAAGCAGAGAGGCAGCACAACAAGCCTTTTGTTGATGTGTTTCTTTTCCTGTAATAATTTTATCACCAAATAGACTTATTTCAGAGGTACAGCTTATGTAAGGAATTAAGCAAGAAAGACAACTAGATGGAGGTTAAAGGGCCCTCTTTTTAAATTTCTCTTGATTTTAGTTGAAAATTCCTAATAACTAAAGGCCATTTCACTTTGTCACTGTTGTTAAAATCAAAAAGAAAAAGATTTCTCTGCTGGAAATTAAGCTCTTTTTCTCATTATGTAATTGGCCAGAGAGTTACCAGTCTTTAAAATTATGAAGATTACACAAGTCAAAGTACTTTACTTTTGTATTTTTCCCTTCACAAAGATGTATGGCACAGATATGATTAGAATTCAGATTTACTCATCCTTTCCCTTTCTGTAGTGAAATACTGAGAAGATGAAAAGGCCATTTAAAAAACAACAGATAGGGGGCCAAGGGAAGCTCAAGTGGTAGAGTACCTGCCTAGCAAGCATGAAACCCCAGTACCACCAAAAAAAGAAAAATAACAAAGCTATTGGTATAGCTAAGGAAATTATCATTCCTAGAAATCACTTGGATTGGTCTGGAAGCATACAGTTTTTTAAGTTATTACAGAAAACTTCCTGAGAACTGTCTTGACATTCTGTTAAATGAAAAAGATCATTCTAGCATGGATAGTAAAGTGTTATCAGGCAAAGATGAAGGTGCTTTGTGAGATGTCACCGATGGTACCATTTTTAACTGGTGATTTCAAGAGAGCATTACTCTCTTGAACCTGGTCATTTCCTGCTTAAGCAACTGTGTGCTTTGCGGGGTTTTTTTGTTTGTTTGTTTGTTTGTTTGTTTTTTTCCCATACTGGGGTTTGAACTCAGGGCCTTACATGTGCTCAGGCATGCACTCTACCACTTGAGCCACTCTGCTAGTATCTCTGTGCTTTAGTTTCATCCTTTTTTATTTCTGGGAGAAACTACTTACACACTTACATAAAGCACTGTGCTTTGAAAATACATACTATGTTTGAATTTAAATCATACATTTTTCTGCCCAAGTTATATGGCAGAAAGGAAGTAAATGATGTTGAAAGCATACACTTTTGTATAAGTAGTGACTGATCTTATTTTTAAAAGACATATAGAATATATTATGCCAAGCTTAGAAAGAATACATGAAAACTCACTTTGCTCAATTTTCTCTTCCAGATTATGGGACATAGAATGTGGTGCATGTTTGCGAGTGTTAGAAGGCCATGAGGAATTAGTGCGTTGTATTCGATTTGATAACAAAAGGATAGTCAGTGGCGCCTATGATGGGTGAGTTTGCTATCAAAGTTAAAAAACAAATCCCTCTGAGGACAATGGTTCACTGCTGTAATCCCAGCACTTGGAAAGAATAGTGAGTTTGAGGCCAGTGTGGGCTACATAGTATGACCCTGTCTCAAAAAATCTTAAGGGCTGGGGGTATAGCTCAGTGGTAGATCATGTGCTTAGCATGTGTAAGACCGTGGCTTCAATCCCCAGTGTTCCCCAAAAAAGTCTACATCTTAATTCTTTCTGGTTTGTGATGTTAAATGTAACCTTCCCTTGTCTCTAAAAGCTTATGTATTTTACAAAAAGGATCTAACTTTAATCTGTGTATCCGCTGTCTTTTGTATACTCTTTTCTAAAATATTCCTCCAGAAAATTACTTGTCTTTAAAATTGTGAAGATTCCACTTCATTTTATTGCACTCATCTTCACTCTTTTGATTATTTGATTATATGTCTATTTTGCCCTATAAAGCAAAGATCCAGACAAACCCATTGTAACAGGATATGCATATAAAATGGTAACTTATTTAATAAAATGGAAACACTAGAGGGTAATATCTTTGAGACTTAGAGTAGTAAGATCTTAAATTTTGATCTCTTTGACTTTGATCTCTTCAAGCGATTCCTATAAGTACCACTCTCCCATCGTTACTTCTACTGTTTCATTTATAATGAGTTATTTTTTTCAGTGTAATTTCCAGTTGTTGTAGATCCATTTGTGTTATGAATGAATCCAATGTTTTGCAATACCACGTACAGAATAAGTTTGTACAAAGTATGTTCACTTAGCAAGGACCGTCTTCTTTTTTCTTACCAAAATGCAGGGGGTAGAAGTTATTGGCAGCTTTTTTTTTTTTTTTCATATGTGCATACAATGTTTGGGTCATTTCTCCCCCCTCCCCTCATCACCTCCCTTCCCCCCCACCCCCTCGCTCTCTCCCCCACCCCCTTGCTACCCGGCAGAAACTATTTTGCCTTTATTTCTAATTTTGTTGTAGAGAGAGTATAAGCAATAATAGGAAGGACCAAGGGTTTTTGCTAGTTGAGATAAGGATAGCTATACAGGAAGTTGGTTCACATTAATTTCCTGTGCGTGTGTGTTACCTTCTAGGTTAATTCTTCTTGATCTCTAGTTCCTGGACCCCTTCTCCTATTGGCCTCAGTTGCTTTAAAGTATCTGCTTTAGTTTCTCTGCGTTGAGGGCAACAAATGCTGTCTAGTTTTTAGGTGTCTTACCTATCCTCATACCTCCCTTGTGTGCTCTGCTTTTATCATGTGCTCAAAGTCCAATCCCCTTGTTGTGTTTGCCCTTGATCTAATGTCCACATATAAGGGAGAACATACGATTTTTGGTCTTTTGGGCCAGGCTAAGCTCCCTCAGAATGATGTTCTCCAATTCCATCCATTTACCAGCGAATGATAACATTTCATTCTTCTTCATGGCTGCATAAAATTCCATTGTATATAGATACCACATTTTCTTAATCCATTCATCAGTAGTGGGGCATCTTGGCTGTTTCCATAACTTGGCTATTGTGAATAGTGCTGCAATAAACATGGGTGTGCAGGTGCCTCTGGAGTAACCTGTGTCACATTCTTTTGGGTATATCCCCAAGAGTGGTATTGCTGAATCATATGGTAGATCAATGTTTTGCTTTTTAAGTAGCCTCCAAATTTTTTTCCAGAGTGGTTGTACTAGTTTACATTCCCACCAACAGTGTAAGAGGGTTCCTTTTTCCCCCCGCATCCTCACCAACACCTGTTGTTAGTGGTGTTGCTAATGATGACTATTCTAGCAGGGGTAAGGTGGAATCTTAGTGTGGTTTTAATTTGCATTTCCTTTATTGCTAGAGATGGTGAGCATTTTTTCATGTGTTTTCTGAACATTTGAATTTCTTTTGAGAAAGTTCTGTTTAGTTCACTTGCCCATTTCTTTATTGGTTCATTAATTTTGGGAGAATTTAGTTTTTTAAGTTCCCTATATATTCTGGTTATCAGTCCTGTGATGTGTAGCTGGCAAATATTTTCTCCCACTCTGTGGGTGTTCTCTTCAGTTTAGAGACCATTTCTTTTGTTGAGCAGAAGCTTTTTAGTTTTATGAAGTCCTATTTATCTATGCTATGTCTTAGTTGCTGTGCTGCTGGGGTTCCATTGAGAAAGTTCTTACCTATATCTACTAATTCCAGAGTATTTCCTACTCTTTCCTCTATCAACTTTAGAGTTTGTGGTCTGATATTAAGATACTTGATCCATTTTGAGTTATAGGGTGATATACATGGATCTATATTGGCAGCTTTTTAAGTATCATAACATTATCTTAGTACATGAGCTACCTATACTGACACATTAACCCAACTCAAGCAGCAGGAAATATAGACAACTCACTTTCTATGCTTTGAATTAGCCATCACTGTCACATCCTTGGGAAACTGTTCAGGCTGTAATATCATATTCCAGCAGGTCAAGGTTACACTTTTCTGGCTCTGACCTATACTGACTTTTTTGGGGAGTTTTGATTTTAGAAGGGCTAGATTTCTCTAACATGAGGTTTTATTTTCTAAACATGAGGTTTTGCTTACTATAATGCCCAGAGCTCTTAAATGAACTCGTCTCCCAGTACATGTGACCTGGGCCATTCTTAGAATAGACCACACAGAAGATTCCTCAGAATTGAATGTTTCTAGGTCTAAGTGACCTCTTACCATTAAGAAGTCTATGGTACAGGATTTCCTCTTGGCCCCAAAGTGTGGTATAACTTTATGATTAATTTTCATTTTGGTAAAAGCTAACCAATTTCTCATTTTTAGGTTAATCATATACATTTCCCCTTGTTAAAACCAATAGCCTCTACCAAAGAAAGAATGCAAGAACCAAGTCTCCAAAACAAAAAGTTTATATGTATTGCTGTTAGCTGGATTTGTAATATAAACTATATTCATCATTCATAATTAATTTTTCCATATGTTCCCTTTACTTTGCTTTTAACTAAGACTTTGGTCCCCTTTTTGATCTTTAGAAAAATTAAAGTGTGGGATCTTATGGCTGCTTTGGACCCCCGTGCTCCTGCAGGGACTCTCTGTCTACGGACCCTGGTGGTAAGAGCTTTGTTGTTTAAAGGGAGTTGGAGAACATATAGGGGAAGAAATTGAATGTTGATGTTGAATGTAGAATCTCAGAAAATCTACTACTAAGTGAAAAGGCAACCAATGCATGCAATAAAATATGTTTCTACTGCACTTTTCATCCAAAAGTGCTTTAGAGACTATACAAGGAGAAGAATGTGGCAGCTGTTTAACAGCTGCATGGCAATACTACAACAGTATAGTACAGGAAGTTAATAAGAATTCTGTATCCACCAGAAACAACAGGAGGTACTAAGGGAGAAAGAATATAATTACTCAAATTGGAACCTGTCCAGAATCTGAAGACCTGCACACCTGTGCCTGCAAAAAGTGTCCTGAAAAATCTCCTGGTCAGCTTGTTCTGCATCCCACTTGAGGGATGGTTCCTCCAGTAACTTGAATCTCATCTTTGTTATTCCCTGTATACCCTCTTTTCTGAACATCTTGACATTAGCGGAAAGAAGTGAGTCAAAAGAAGGAATGTCACCTTCAAAAGCACTAATTATTTACCTTGTTGTTAGCCAAGGGCCCAGATTGACAAATGCTGCTTTGGTCAGAAAATTAAGTGGAGTACTAGTGCTGGCAGAATCTTGTACACAACTCAGGGAAAAGATGAAAGCAAGCATTCAAAGCCCAAGTTAAAATTCTGACTCAGTTTTAGGCAATCTCAGTGCTTGAGAAGAGAGGTTACATTTCCTTGTTGTGTATGAAGCACATTTTTTCAGCAACAGACGTGCTTTACCTTCCTGTTTCACACGTGTTTTTTCAAATATGTAATTTCTGAACTGGACATGGCTGTGTATGTTTTTAATCTCAACTTTTGGGAAGCTAAGGCAGGAGGATGATGAGTTCGTGGCCACCTTGGGCTGCATAACAAGACCCTATCCGGGTGTGGTGGCTCATATCTGCAATCTCAGCTACCCAGGAGGCAGAAATGTTTGAGACCCTCATCTCAATCAATAAGCCAGGCATGGTAGTGCAGGCCTTGGCTGAGAGCGTGGCTCAAATAGTACAGCACCTGCCTAGCAAGCCCAAGTCTCTGAGTTTGAACCCCAGTACAGACCCCACACACATACACACACCCCAAAAAAAGTGCCAAGTGCTGGTGCCTCATGCTTGTAATCTTAGCTACTTAGGAGGATGACTTCAATTCCCAGCCCAAGAAAATAGTTCATGAGACCTCCCCATCTCCAGAAATGGCCTGGAGGTGTGGTTTAAGCAGTAGAGCACCTGATTTGCAAGTTCAAGATCCTGAGGTCAAACCCCTGTCCCACCAAAAAAAGGAAGTGCATTCAAAGGCAAGACATAGTGGTACACACCTATAATCTCAGCACTTGGGAGGTTGAGACAGGAGGATTGTGAGTTCCAAGGCAGTCTGGACAACATAGCTAGGCCCTATCTCAAAAGACAAAATAATAAAAGCCAGGCACCAGTGGGTCACACCTGCGATCCTAGCTACTCAGGAAGCAGAGAGCAGGAGGACCACAGCTCAGCAGCATAGTGGCTCAAGTGGTAGAGTGCCTGCCTAGCAAGAGTGAGGCCCCAAGTTCAAACTCAAGTACCACCAAAAAATAATAACAATAATAAAATGTGTACTTTCATTCATTTACAATTACTCTGACAAACTGGTGTAGGGGGGTTGTTTTTATTTGGCAATGCTGGGATTTGAATTCAGGGCCTTGTGCTTGCTAGTTAACTACTCTGCCCCTTGAGCCATACCTCCAGCACCCAAGTCTGGTTTTTGAGATATGATTTATTTATTTTTATTTTATTTTTCTTGCAGTACTAGGGTTTGAATTTGAGTCCTCGTGCATGCCAGGCAAATACTTAACCACTGAACTACATTCCCAGCCCCTTGCGGTATGATTTACGTGCAGTGAAATTTACCCATTTTTTAGTGAGTTTTCCAGTTGTATAACTGCACTGCAGTCAAGATGTAAGATCCTTTCCATTATTCCCAGAAGTTGTTATGCTTCTTCACTTCAGTATACTCCCTCAACTCCTATCAACTGGTCCTTTGATTTCTTTCTCTTTGGTTTTAGTTTGTTACGAATATTATATAAATCCTATAGCACGTACCCTTTTTTTTTTTTTTTTTTTTTTTTTTTGGTGATTCTATGGATTAAACTCAGAAGCTCACACTTGATAAGAGCAAGTGTTCTACCACTTTAGCCACATCACCAGCCCTTTTGCTTTTAGTTTGTTTCTCAGATAGGGTCTTTTTCTCCTTGGGCCAGCCTCAGACTATGATCATCCTGAGTACCTGGCACCACAGGCTTATGCCACTTCTCCTGGCTCATTTATGAGATATGGTCTTGTTAAACTTTTGCCTTAGCTGGCCAAGAACTGCAGCCCTCCCATTTCCACCTCCTCCTGAGTAGCTGGAATTGTAGGTGTGTACCACCACACCCAGATCAGCATGTAGCCTTTTATTTTTAGCTTGTTTCACCTCATTTGAGATTTATGTTGTTGCACATATCAGTACTTTGCTTCTTTTTATTTCTGAAGAGTATACTATTGTGTAGATGAACCAGGTGTTTTATTCATTGACCAGTTTAAGGACATTTGGAATGTTTCTAGTTTTTGTTGATTCTGAGTAAAACCAATGATGAAATTCCTCTAACAGGTTTCTATGTCCAGAGTGTTTTCATTTCACTTAGAAAAGTATCCAGAGTACAATTTCTGTATTCTATGATAAGTGTGTGTTTAAAAGAAACTATCAAGATGCTTCCTAAAGTAGCATTTTGGATTTTACACAGGCAAAGCATTTTGAATTTTTTCTAAGTATATGAGAGCTCCATCTTTTCATATCCTTACCAGTACTTGGTATAGTTGATGTATGTTTTTTTTAATTACAACCATTTAATGTGTAGTGATACCTCATTGCTTTAATTTGCATGTCTGTGATGATGCTCAAAATTCTTTCATCTGCTTATCTTTTGTGAAGTGTCTATTCAGTTCTTTTGACCATTTTATTTATTGAGATTTTTTTAAACATTTATTGAGGTAATGTTAGCATATAATAACATGGACATATTAAAAGTGAACAGTTTTTTTACTTGTATACCAATGAAGCATCGATAATGAGGATATTTTCATGGCCCCTCATAGTCCCTTCTTCCCATTCCATCCTAGTTCCCTGTCCCCAAGTCTCTAAAAAACCCCCACTCTGCTCTACATCAGCATTAATTAGTTTGCATTTTTAGGGTTTTATAAAAATGAATCATACAATATATACTTTTTTTTTTTTTGCCTAACTCTTTTCACTAAGAGTAAAGTCTTTTGGTATTCACCCAAGTGGTTCATATATGTCAGTAGCTTATCCTTTGTAAAACTGCTGAGTAGTAAGCAGTTCATTGCATGGTTATGCCGTGTTTATCCATTCACCAGCTGATGAACATTTGGGTGTTCTCCCATTTTTAGCTATTGTAAATAAAGTTTCCATAAACATTTATGTACAAGTCTTGAGATAGACATGTATTTCCATTTCTCTGAGGTAGATGAACAAGAACAGCATGATTAGATCATACGTAAGTATATACTAGTATTTTTAGAAACTGTCAAACTATTTTTTATGTCATAGTACAGCAGCAGTGTAACATCCTCACCAATATTTAATAGTCTTTTTAATTTTAATCATTTTAATAACTGTGGTGCCAGGAGCATTACCTCATTGTGGTTTGTTTATAATTTTTGTTTTTTGGGGGGTGGTGCTGGCATTTGATCTCAAAGCCCCACAATTGCTGCAGGCAGGCACTCTACCACTTGAGCCACCCGCCCCCCAGCCCACATTGTGGTTTTAATTTGTATATTCCTAATGATTAATAATGTTGAGCATCTATTCATGTGTTTGCCATTCATGTGTTGAAGTGTCTATTCAAATTTTCCCCCTTTTTTTTGAGTAGTTTTTTACTAAGTTTTGAGATTCTTTTTCCATAGTCTACATTACAAGTTAGTATTCAAGTATGTAATTTGCAAACATTTTCTCTCAGTTCACGGCTTGTTTTTCATTCTTTTAAAAGTAGCTTTTAAAAAGTGGTTCATAATTTTTAATCTAGTATATCAACTTTTTCTATTATGACTTAAGTTATTTGCTACTATATATATTTTTTTAAATCTTTGCCTAATCCAGAGTCACAAAGATTTTCTTTCACAAAAGGGCCATGAGGCTATCCCACTTCTGTAGTTTTAGGTTTAAATTTTGGTCTGTGATGCATTTTGAGTTGAGTTTTGTATATGGTACAATGTATAGATCAAAGTTTTGGATTGTTTTGTTTTGCCTGCAAGTGTCCAATTGTCCCACTGTCATTTTTCCTCCAAATAGCCCTTGCAGCTTTATCAAAAAAAAAGAATTGAGTGCCTGTCAGAGAGGCTCAAGCAGTAAGAGTGCCTGCCTTACAAGCGTGAGGCCCTGAGTTCAATCCCCAGTGCCATCAAAAATAAATAAATAAAAACAAATTGACAATATATGTGTGGACTTCTGAGCTTTTTCTGTACCATCGATTTTTTTTTTTTCTTTGTGCTGGGGTTTGATCTCAGGGCCTTGCACTTAATGGGCAGGCACTCTGTCACTGAGCCATTTCCCAGCCCCTTTTTTTTTTTTTGCCTTTCTTGATCCAGTATAATTTTGTCTTTTTCAAAGTTTTTTATGTCCCTTGAATTTTAGAATCACTTTGCCAATTTGAACATCAGAAAGTCTGCTGGGATTTTTATTGGATTTATGTTGAATCAAGATCGTTTTGGAGAGAATTGACTTATCACCAATATCAAGTCTTCTGATCCGATAACAGAATATATATCTTCATTTGGTTAGGTCTTTTTAAATTTCCTAATAATGTTTCATAGCTTTAATGTAAAGAACTTGTATGTCTATTGTCACATTCATCCCAAAGTATTTCATATTTTCAAGGCTATGACAATTAGCAGTTTTAAACTTCAATTTGTGATTTTTCACTGCAAGTAGGGCTGGAGTT